TTGCAATATGCCCGAACAATAAATATGAGGTTGTATTATATAAAAGGATCAATATACAACCAGGCATTTATTAAAGCGCTAAAAAGTAAATAAAAAAGTACTTATATTTACTTATATTTACTTATATTTACTTATATTTACTTATATTTACTTATATTTACTTATATTTACTTATATTTACTTATATTTACTTATATTTACTTATATTTACTTATATTTACTTATATTTACTTATATTTACTTATATTTACTTATATTTACTTATATTTACTTATATTTACTTATATTTACTTATATTTACTTATATTTACTTATATTTACTTATATTTACTTATATTTACTTATATTTACTTATATTTACTTATATTTACTTATATTTACTTATATTTACTTATATTTACTTATATTTACTTATATTTACTTATATTTACTTATATTTACTTATATTTACTTATATTTACTGATATAGAAACCCCCTGTATATCAATATTTTAAATAGATTTGCCCAGACTCTTAAAAGGGGTGGTTCGGCTCTAAAAATTTACATAAAAATATTATTTACCAAATTTAATTAATAAATAAAAAATAAATTTTAAATTCTTCAATCTTCTCTGCGTCTATCTGTCTTCTTATCTCTTTTTTGTGTGTGCTGCTCGTATCTGCTTGTCTCTGACCCTACCTATGTGTGCTGTTTGTATCTATCTGCTTGTCTCTGTCGTGTTTCTTTTAATATCTCTCCCTGGTATCTCTCCCTGCTACTCTTTCTCTATCTCTGGTTCTATATAATATTTCTCACTTTCTAAATAAAATTCTTTACCTTTATTTTTCCAACCTTCTTTATTGTAATATCGCAGTCTTTAACATTTCTTTATTATTCTAATATAATCTTAATTTTTATTTAACATTTTATATCTATTAATCTTTTTATATCAATTTCCCTCTGACAACTCATTTCTTTCTGACATTTCCCAAAAATAATCAACAAAAATCCCGACATTTTGATTTTAACTTGAATTTTGATTTCAAGATACTTCACCACCCCAGTATTGCTCAATTTAAATAATAAATTTTATGACGTCAGGAATTTCTATATCAAATCCCCCAAATTAATTGTTCGTCCAGTATATTTTAAAATATACTGTGAACAATAAATTTTAAATTTTATCCAAATATTGAAATTCCCTGATTAGTTATAATTTTCCTACCTGAAATGTTGATTTCGTCAATTTTTCTTTATTCATTCAAACCAAACATATAAACTACTTACTAACTAATAACTCTAACTCAAAATCATAATATCTATCTATGGATCCTACTAATTCCAGATCTACTTTTTAATATTATAGTTAAAGCCACATGATCTGTTTCAACAAAAAAAACTTCCCCCCTAATAGATAAAAACGTAATTTTCCAACACAAAAAATATATACTTGCTAATTCTACCTCTGACATGCTATAATTTCTTTCATATTTTATTTTTTTTTATTCTTGATACATTGTTTAGCTAATCATTTCTTCTGTCTCTTGTATATATTCGTTCTGTCCATATCTCTATTCATAATCCATTCTATTCCTTAATTAATCACTTTCACTCCATTATCACAAATTCTTCATTTATTTATAATATCATTTCACATTTACTCTATAAATCATCATTATAATACTTCATTTTTTAATATTTCTCATAATACACATCATATTTCATTTATTCTCCTACAGCTTAACTCATTTTCTTTCTAGGCTTTCATCTTCTTTTTAATTCTTCCAGCTCCTTTTTCAACATAACTACTTTATTTTTAAACATAAATTCTCTTTTCCACTAATTTTCTAAATTTTATTTTATTTATCTATTTTCTTATTTTCATATAATGACTAGTTCCTTCTTCTTTTTCTTAATGCTGTTTTTTAGAAAGATATTTAATAAATTTAGACTATTTTGTTATTATTTAGTTATAATTTTTTTTTTTTATATTTTTGTTTATAATTATTACATTTTTTATCCATTATTTGAATTTATTTATTTAATTTCCTAAATATTATTCCACAATTTCTCTATTACTTAATTATCCTATCTTATGCGGTACATTCTATATTATTTTCTATTTCTAATAATCCGTTTTCCATAGCCTTATGTTCTTCTTTTTAAATTTTACATCCCCGTTTGAAGCTTTCTTTGTACTTTTCTTTTACTTTGTTTCTGACTTTTTCTTTTTCGGTCAATCCCCTATTTTTGGTTATGTTTCTCCATTCTTCTTTGATTATGTTCTTTCTTGCTAATGTCTTCTTTTTATAATCTTCTTCCATTTTCTTTATTCTTAGTTTTATTTTCCCTTTATTTTTTAAACAATATTTTCTCTGTTTTTCTTTTCCAAGATCACCATTTCTTATTTTACATTCCCTCTTATTTCTTATCATTTTGCTTCTATTGTCTTGGTTTATGTTTATTTCTTTTTTTATTTCTAATATGTTAAAATCCTTTCTCTTGGATAATTGTTTTTCCAAATTACCTGTTTGCTTGTTTAACTTCTGACTATATTCTTCTTCTATTTCTTTGATATTTTCCTTCATTTTCTCCAAATTCGATATCCTACTATCATTTTTATTTACACTTGTTTTAACACTGTCTACCACTGTATAAATCTTTTTTTTTAAATCTTCTCCTTTTTCTGTTATTATTTGATATTTCTTATCTTGTTCATTTTCTACTTCATTTATTTTTCCTATCATTTCTATTCTTATATTCTTCTTATTTTCTTCAATTTTTTCGTCACTGTATATTTTAAAATCCTCAAATTTCTTCATTATTTCTTCTTTATCTTGTTTCCTATTTTCATCCATTTTCTTACTATATTCCTCTAATTTATTCATTTTCCTGCTTATATCTTTATAGTTCTCATCCATTTTCTTATTGTTTTCATCCATTTTTTTATTGTTTTCATCCATTTTTCCAATGAGCACTTGCATAAAATTTTCCAAATTCATTCCTTCTTTCTTTCCTTGAGTCTCGACAATCTCCTTTTCTAATGTCGCTGTATTGTCCTGATTTTGTACTATTTCTCTATCTTTTTCTTCAAAAATTGTATCTCCTATATTTTGCTGTTCCATATCTCCTTGTCCTACTTGACATACACCCTCATCATCTCTCTCCTGTTCTTCCATCAAACCAACCTTCTTTCCTCCTCGCAAATCCATCTAATATATCACTTTCTCTTATATATAAGTTTAAAATATCACTTTTATCTTCTATATCACTATTAAACTTTCACCACTTTTAATACTTTACATTCCACGTCACACTTGGCTTTTAATGTTACTTTCCCCCTACTTAAATTCCACCCAAATTTCCTACACTTTATATTCTGTCAATGTATTCCTGCTCTTATCTCCTAAACCATACAAACATCACACACATGCAATATCTTCACCCTCTCTATATAAAAAATAGACCAAAATCAACAATTCAAATAAAAAATTATAAACAATCTTACCAATTTTCTTCCAAATTCCTAAATTGCAAATATCCAAAATTTTGATCTCCCTCTAGAAACAATGCTCCACGTTGGCTGGCGACACTTGATATAGAAACCCCCTGTATATCAATATTTTAAATAGATTTGCCCAGACTCTTAAAAGGGGTGGTTCGGCTCTAAAAATTTACATAAAAATATTATTTACCAAATTTAATTAATAAATAAAAAATAAATTTTAAATTCTTCAATCTTCTCTGCGTCTATCTGTCTTCTTATCTCTTTTTTGTGTGTGCTGCTCGTATCTGCTTGTCTCTGACCCTACCTATGTGTGCTGTTTGTATCTATCTGCTTGTCTCTGTCGTGTTTCTTTTAATATCTCTCCCTGGTATCTCTCCCTGCTACTCTTTCTCTATCTCTGGTTCTATATAATATTTCTCACTTTCTAAATAAAATTCTTTACCTTTATTTTTCCAACCTTCTTTATTGTAATATCGCAGTCTTTAACATTTCTTTATTATTCTAATATAATCTTAATTTTTATTTAACATTTTATATCTATTAATCTTTTTATATCAATTTCCCTCTGACAACTCATTTCTTTCTGACATTTCCCAAAAATAATCAACAAAAATCCCGACATTTTGATTTTAACTTGAATTTTGATTTCAAGATACTTCACCACCCCAGTATTGCTCAATTTAAATAATAAATTTTATGACGTCAGGAATTTCTATATCATTACTTATATTTACTTATATTTACTTATATTTACTTATATTTACTTATATTTACTTATATTTACTTATATTTACTTATATTTACTTATATTTACTTATATTTACTTATATTTACTTATATTTACTTATATTTACTTATATTTACTTATATTTACTTATATTTACTTATATTTACTTATATTTACTTATATTTACTTATATTTACTTATATTTACTTATATTTACTTATATTTACTTATATTTACTTATATTTACTTATATTTACTTATATTTACTTATATTTACTTATATTTACTTATATTTACTTATATTTACTTATATTTACTTATATTTACTTATATTTACTTATATTTACTTATATTTACTTATATTTACTTATATTTACTTATATTTACTTATATTTACTTATATTTACTTATATTTACTTATATTTACTTATATTTACTTATATTTACTTATATTTACTTATATTTACTTATATTTACTTATATTTACTTATATTTACTTATATTTACTTATATTTACTTATATTTACTTATATTTACTTATTTTAATTTCAAATTTTCAATCTGTATAATGATTTCTCATTTTTTATTTACCAGTCTGTTAGACATACAAATATTTTAAAATTAAAATAAATATATTGTTGATATTAACCATTGTTTTCTTAATTACTCAAAACTACTTCTATGCTTTGAATGTTTAATAAATAGTTTGTTTTTTGAAACACGGTGATCCTACCGTTATCCTTTATGACAAGACCATGTACTAAACTCGATATTTTTATTTTCAGGCGGTGGATTGGTGGTCCGTGGGCGTCTTAACCTACGAACTTCTAACTGGCGCGTCGCCGTTTACCGTAGAAGGAGAAAGAAATACTCAGCAAGAAATTTCCAGGAGAATCCTGAAAACAACACCTCCTATTCCAGAATGTAAGTCAAAACGGATGACGTACGAGCGAATTTAGGTTATATTCGGGTTATTCGGAGAAATTATCCGTAAATGATTGTTATTACGTCGGGTGGGCGATGGCTATTTTTAGTTTTATGAGACACCCTCGAAACACCATATCGAGACTACGAAGAATCTGTGCTATAACGCCCACTTTTGTAATGACAATTATTTTTCATTAAGGATTAAACACAATATCAGATATTTATCTCTTTTGTCGAGATCTAAAATAATAATACCAAAATGAGATATCAGAGTTGTATGTCTTAATAGAAAGTTAAAATAGGATTTTCTCCACGACCATTACTGAATATAATTCTTTGAAAATCAATTTTAATAACAGAATGTAAACATTGTCACTCGAGATTGAAAAATAATCTTAAACACTTACTTTCTATTTATTTTGCATACATTTTCATTCTATAACAAGTAGAAAATGACTTTCTAACGCAATGGTTCCGCTCTCCATCTTTAACGAGACACCCTATATTCAGTTCATACTTTATGGTCGTGGAAAAAGTACAGTATGTTAACCTTGGAATGAAAATTCGATACTCATAGTTCGTCGCACTCGCTACGCTCGCCTTCAGAATTTTCCACTCTTATCAAATGTTCATTCCAACCTCTTACAGATTATACTATTTCTACTCTACTCTAAGTCATTACTTATACGCACACAGGTAGCATACCAAACTCGCTTACGGTTCGGTTTTTATTTACTTCATACTCATGTATTAATAGTTACCATTACAGAATCATTACGTAATATACTGTTTTCGAACAAGGACTAAAATAACCAATTGTAAGGATGTTTATTAAAATATGTGGGTCTGACAAACTTTTGCAGAGTTTGAGATTGTGTTAGTCTGGGCATTTGTCAAACTTTATCAGGCTAGTAAATTTTTAACGAACGTCCTTGCAACCGGCTGTAAGTCTGAAAAGTCAATCCTCGCCGCTTCCTGACTCTCACTCTTTTATCTGCAATATATTTATTGAGAATTATTTTTTCTATTGTATACAATTAAAAAAAATTAAAAATTGTTGTTAAACACTTCTTTTTCGACAAAATCCGTTTTATAGATGCATAGATTTATTTATTGTAATCTATGAAATAACCAATATTGCAATTTTGCAAAATTATAAAAGACTTCAACTATATATGACCTTTCCTTCTTAAAAGCCCAAATTTTCCATTTTACAATTATTAATATAAAATTATTTACCAAAGAAAATTAAAAATCTCTTGAATGTCTGTTTCCAAAAAAATTATAAGTCAAATAATATAATCGAACTTGAAGCAGAAAATAATGTTCTCTCAATATCGCATACAATACCGGATTATCAAATTTTAGACACACACAATTTAAAAAATACCTAATTTTTTAATAGGTCCCCTGTTATTTTTAGTTTATACCAATGACTTTGTTGATATCAAGTATCAAATGTAACATTCACCTTTTTTTTTTTAATATTTACTTCATCTTAAGTTTTATTTTACAATTTACTAGGATATTTTATTTTCCTGATACTCTGCTATAGGACTTTTCCTTTTCTGGGCATTAGCCTGTTTATTGATGATTATACTCTTATATATTTTTCTGGTAGGGATTCAGATAATTTAGTAAGAGTTATATACGAAACTCTGCAAAGTGTTTATAAATGGTGTAATTTGTCAAAAAATCAACACAAATAAAACAAAGTGTATGCTGATAAGCAATAAATAACTATATGCAGTCTGTCGATAAACAGTATAATGTCTAGAAAAATTCAAATACTGAGGGATAATGATTGATAAACAGGTGAAATTCACAGACCATGCTAATACTGTTATCAAAACTATTGCATTTAAATTAAATTTTCTATTTCATTTGGTGAACTAAATATGTATAATTATTTATAAATCAAAATGAGTTGAACCGACTGAAGAAGTTGCAGAATACGGCAATGCGAATAATATCTTGTTCAAATTATACTCCCTTTAATCTAATGCGGATACTAATCAAAAGTCTCTTGTTAAGAAATGCATTAGTTTGTATTTATAAAATCAAAGATTACTTCCGATGTACCTAAAAGAGATGCTTAATTAATTATCACTCTAATGTGCAGTGCTATCCAGCGAGGAAGAGAAATAACTTTTACATTAAAATTTACTATTTTTTAAAGATCTAGATGATTATCACGCACTTTCAGAGAAAATTAAATCTGTAACCTCTGTAAGTACATTTAAAATTCAAGACACAGATTATTTAATTAATGAATATTTATCCAGATCTAGGATTAATTAAGTATTAGTTGTATCTGAATTACTTTTATACATATTTTTACTAAATTTGTTATTGTGATATTAGCAAACTAGCAACAGCATTCTTTTCACGAGGATAGACTTCAATGCATATTTTTTATAATTTTACCATCTTTTCAAAAATAGTATATATGCTCGAAAGTTTTATAACAGGTTTGGATGTCAATTTACAACAAATATCTGATATAATAGATAAAGAAATACTAAACACATTATAGGAAATTTAACAAACTGTTTTTATTCAAACTCAATTTACAAATGAATACACAATAACAAATTGCTTATATTGTGAGCATTTAAATGCATTTTCAAATTTTCAAATACTTTTGAAGTCGCAGCTTGAGTAGTCTATTAATCTGGTGCGATAAAAATGCTCTTATCAGAGCTTTACAATAGGTTCTCATCGGCCTGGAAGAAAAACTAAAAGCTCTCACTGTTTAAAATTGTTGTTCTATTTATAGTTGTTGATTAAAGTTATATGATTTTTCAGCTCTGGGTGTCGAAGTAGCCGATTTCATTAGCAAATTATTGGTGAAAGATCCGAGAAAACGACTGGGCGGTGGCGAAGAAGATGCAAAAGAACTGAAACGGCATACTTTCTTCAAGAACATCGACTGGGACAAGCTAGCCAGGAAAGAGATAGGCGCTCCTTTCAAACCTGTAATAAGGTAAAAACTATTATTCAACCTTATAACTTTATTATGTAGAAGTTATTTTTAACACACCCTGTAGATCGTTTCCAATGAACAACAAAAATCTCAAAACTGGGGTGAATTCAAATTCTATAAATTTAATTAAAAATTACAAAATTTGTTTAACAATAAAAGGTAAACAAAAATTATTACAACTTGTATTTTCTGTTCGTTTCTTTATTTTAGCTGCAGACGGTTTCTATTTCAATTCTTTTTAAGACTCTGTATTATTTTTTCGTGTCTGTTAATCATTTCTTTTTATCTCTTCCCTCTGTTGCCAGTCATTCTGCTTTACTTTTGTATTTATTCAGTAGTTTTTCAAAGAAAATAAATTTCAACTTTTTTGATATTTCTCTTTCTAAATCCATAGTTCTTTGATTACTTTATATACAGTGTGTGAAAGTCCAATATCTCGGTTGTTTGTGAAAATACGAGAAAATGACAAGTACAACAGTTTTACGGTTCTTGGAGGCGCCTTTTGTAAAAATATTTACCAATATATTAAAAAAAATCTATTTTTTGTCTAAAACACCATATTATCATGTGTAAATTCAATTGTTTTCATGCTTTTGACATTCGAAAATTTACTTTTTCACTTTTTGACAAGCTGTAACACCCAAATTGTTGGGGTAAAACTGTTTACATGTACCTAACTTAGTTTTTTATCCTTTATATCAATATACAATAAAATAATCAACTTAAGGTTAAACAGTAAATACAAAAGTTCGAATATCTGGATAGGATATAAAAAACCAAGATAGGGACATGTAAACCGTTTTACCCTAACTTCAACCCTTTGGATTCTACAGCTTGTTAAAATGTAAATGAGTCCATTTTAGAATGTCAAAAGCTTAAAAACAATTGAATTTAGACATATGGTGTCTCAGGCAAAAATACTTTATTTTTAGTAGAATTCAAAAATAAAAATACAGGGTGTTCCATTAAAAAAAAAATTTATGATAAGTAATTTGCTTTTCAGGCGCACCCTATATATTTGAAGATATTTTTACGATAGGCGCTTCTGCGAACCGTAAAACTTTTGTATTTGACATATTCTCGTATTTTCACAAACAACCGAGATATTGGACTTTCACATCCTATATAAGCATCTCTCTAAAATTATCCCAATCCTAACTAACAAAATTTCTTCTGACCTCTCTATACATTCCAATACCCAACTGACAAAATTTCTGTATTTTTCATCAACCAATCCCCATGACATTCGTTTTTTTTTTCCAATAATTTGATTTCATTTTCAATTGTTTTTTCATACTCCAACCAGCTTTTCTAAATAAATTTTGAATATTTTTGACATTAACAAATAAAAATCTGCTAATTATTTTACTTCCTGGAAATTTTCCAGCGGCCCTCATGAGAATGATCTGTTTTTGGCTCATGCTTAAATTATAATGAGTTAGGTAAAACTTCAATCCAAACTGTCTCACCTCGTTGATAGCGTTTTCCAGTTGTATGAGTATTTTATCAAGGATAAAGTCCAGATTGTTACCTCCTTTGCAAAATTAATTTGTTTCCTATGCCAGAATAATGCAATTCGAAGCTTTTGGAGCATAGAGTACCACAAGGGTCGGTTCTAGGATCACTACTATTTATAATTTATATAAACGATCTTTTTGATCATATGAATTATATAAACTCTATTATGTTTGCTGACGATGCAATTTTCTATCACACCAATTTCAGTGAACTTCAAATCAAGGAGAGCAATACAATAATTAATCATATAACTGAGTGGATTATTCTGAATCAACTGAAGCGTAATTAAACCAAAACTCGAAAAATTTGATTTACTTTTAAGTTGTTCTTTATTAAAATATAATTCGGTTAATCGTATTTTTAATTTCAATTGAGGACTCTTTGAAGAAGTCTCAACATGTTTCAAATCTTTGTATAACGCTTTCGACCAAATTCTTTTAATCAGTATCTCAGCTTTGAAATAATCCGTATTGTCTATTTCTCAATATTTCATAGCCACATTAGTTACGATATTTACGTATAAGGAAACTCTAGCCATGCTGTTCGAGCTTTTTTGCAGCAAAAAAGAAATAAATATAAATTCCCGGAAGGGTTTTTTTATCAAAATTTGTTGAAATTTACAAAAAAATAGCCCAAATTTTACATCTCAAAACGACATTCACTTTCACAATTCACGGAATGCGAATTGTTTACGGAAGAAGCGATATAGATAGGAGGTATCTGTTAAACACTTTGCTAATCTTAATTTAAACTTCCGCATTAAACAAAAACAACTACCTATACAGGGTGTTCGATAAATATAGATGGTAGGAGACATTAAAATAAACATGTTTTGCTTAATAAACATAATATGTCCGAAAATGCTTCGTTTCCGAGATACGAAGTGTTAAAATAAAAATAAAAATGATTTTTATTTAAAATATTTTACCGACAAATAATATAAAAAAACCATGACGTATACTTTTGTTCACCAGAAGTATCCATATCCATGTGAACTAGGATGTGCTACAAATATTGCACAAATGCAACTTAGTAAATATCTATAAATCTATATTTTTAAGGTGAAGGGGGAGAAATCTATATATTTATCATAACAAGCTTTCTTTCTAGAAATTAATCATTGTTTTCTATTACAGGAACGAGTTGGACGTCTCGAACTTCAGCGAAGAATTCACAGCGATGCCTCCGACCGATTCGCCGGCCGTCGTTCCTCCGAATTACGACAAGATCTTCAAAGGATACTCCTACGTAGCGCCGTCCGTGCTATTCACCAAAAACGTCATATCCGATGACATTCTCAAACCGAGCAAACAACACGAGAACATCAAGAACTTCCGATTGAGCAACAGTCCATTTTTCCAAGTCTACGATATTAACTTCAACGAGGAGATACTCGGAGATGGAACGTTTTCCATATGCAGGAAATGTATAAATAGAAATACGGGGAAAGAGTACGCCGTGAAGATAGTTAGTAGAGCTAGGGATTGTACGCAGGAAATCAACTTGTTGAGGGCGTGCCAAGGAAACCCGAACATAGTCAGTTTGCAGGACGTCATTCACGATGAAAGTCACACTTACCTCGTCATGGAGTACTTAAAAGGCGGAGAACTGTTCGATAGGATAAGGAAAAAGTCTAAATTTACTGAAGGCGAAGCGTCCATCATCATGAGAAAGTTGGTTTCGGCTGTGAGCTTTATGCATTCGCGCGGCGTAGTTCATCGCGACTTGAAACCTGAGAACCTAGTATTTACCACCGACGAAGATGAGGCTGAGATAAAAATAATCGATTTCGGCTTCGCCAGGTTGAAACAAGAGCAGGAATCCTTACACACGCCGTGTTTTACCCTTCAGTACGCTGCTCCGGAAGTATTGAAAGGTAATGAAAATATAGATGAATAATACCTGGGGTCTATTTCATAAAACTACTTTCAACTTTGCGCTATGCATATTTACGATTGTGTTAAATGAAAAGTATTTGCATTTGTAGATTATTGACTTTCCATTTTCACTTGGCAATTTTTTTATAAAATGTCATTGTGGCTATGAGCGATTATTAAAATAAATAATTGATTACCAATTATTTAAAATAATCGATTATTTTCAATTAATTAGTTATATTCAAATATTTAACATAAAATAGATTATTTTCGATTAATCGTTAAATTGATTTATTAGATTAATCGATATATCGATATTATTTAACTGATTTTTAATATTATATTCGATTGTTATTAATTTATTTAGTAAATAGCTAAATCAATTACACATTAATAAGGAAATCCAAGGATCGTTTTATGTCAAATTATCGATTATTAAAATAAATTATCGATTATTTTCTATTAATCGATTAATCAAAAATAATGGATAATGTTCGATTAATCGATTATTTTTTTACCAATAGATTAGTCGATTATTATGCCGATCCCTAATTGTAATACGATTCATTAGTATATTGCTTGATTGTATAAATTACAAATGAATCGCCACATTTGTAATTTTTTCAAGTGATGAAAGTGATAACGCAAATGGCGGAAAAGTATATAGAAGAAATTTTAAAAATTTCAATCATGTACAATTCAAAAAAAGTTTTGGACTTTCTGCATCCGATGAGGAAGTTGTATTGGTTGCCATTGCAGAAGAGTCGTGGAAACCATCATTTTCACCAAGAGAGTAAATGCTTACAGCTCATGGGTGGCTTACATTAGCTCAGGAAATCTATTGAAAAGAATCTGTATGTGAATAGGTCTATTATAATATTTGAAGTGAGGGTAGCCATATGTGAGTAGTAGGGATTAAGTGTAAGGGTTAAAGAAAAGGTCCTTTATTTCTCACAAGTCAATTTAATTGGCGACCGGTTTCGAAGTTGTCACTTCATCATCAGGCACACCTAAATGGAATGTCAAGGAGTCAGTTGTAATAAAAACAATTATAAAAGCATGAACGGACTTTAACATATACAAATAACAGAAAAAACACAAAAGAAAGTTAAACAATAACCTTGACTCACCTTGACTAATTCCATAAAGGAAGCGCTACAAAAAGTTTAACAGAACGAGTTAAAAAAGTCATGTGTAATAAGTATTTTTTAAAAAAAATTTTAATGTAGGTTAGGTTAAACCACCATATGTCTGTTTGAATAAAATAATTAATTAAAACACATTTAAGACAATTATTTTGTGTTGTTTAGTTAATAATTGTCTTAAATGTGTTTTAATTAATTATTTTATTCAAACAGACATATGGTGGTTTAACCTAACCTACATTAAAAAAAATTTTAAAAAATACTTATTACACATGACTTTTTTAACTCGTTCTGTTAAACTTTTTGTAGCGCTTCCTTTATGGAATTAGTTAAGGTGAGTCAAGGTTATTGTTTAACTTTCTTTTGAGTTTTTTCTGTTTTTTCTGTTATTTGTATATGTTAAAGTCCGTTCATGCTTTTATAATTGTTTTTATTACAACTGACTCCTTGACATTCCATTTAGGTGTGCCTGATGATGAAGTGACAACTTCGAAACCGGTCGCCAATTAAATTGACTTGTGAGAAATAAAGGACCTTTTCTTTAACCCTTACACTTAATTAACTATTATAATATGTATGAAATAATTACTTATTCCTCCATTAAACACAGTATTTTTTTCTTCTAATTTTGACATATAAAGTGACATTTTTTGCTATCGGAGCAAGTGTCAAAATTATCTATTTCAGCAAATAGTTACATAAAATATACCTTTTTGACATATTCTCCGATTACAAAAATTGTAACTTTATATGTAACCAGTTACATAAAGTTGGACATGTAACTGGTTGTGAAAAGTTCATTGTCATTAGTTGCGAAAAAAAATATCTAACTGAAGCCTTTTTTGTTTTAAAATCTAATATCGTTGGAACATAAGAACAGTGACACAACTCAAAAACAGGTTTTTCGAGTACATTAATTTTAAAGTTTCTTGATCTGGAATTTTAAAAATATCCAAACCTTTTTGATCATAAACATTAGTGTTCACCTTGTACGAGCCCTAACACAAACATGTTCGGACATCAACTGATTTTTCGTAAAAGTTTGAAAATTTTCTTAAGGGATTCAATATCATGTTTTTCATTTATAAGACATAATATATATTGTTTTACATCATATTTATGATATTGTTTTCAAATAAACTGATATTGATCAATAAAACTAAGCTAATGTTGATAATAATGCATATTTATTGACACATAAATGTTTGGACAAATCACATAAATAGCTGGTTGCATCTCCCTTTGCCTTAATAACAGTTTTTATTCTATCAGGCATAGTTTTAACAAGCTTTTCGCAATCTTCCGCGGTTAAAGAATCCCATATATTTTGCAATTTTACCCGAAAATCAGAAATGTTGCGCTGTGGATCATTTCTTAATTGCTGCTTCATCTTGTGCCATACAGTTTCGATTATATTTAGATCAGGGCTGCTGCAGGGCCAGTCAAGGATGGAAATATTGTTGTCCTGCAGCCACTTTCTTGTGGTCTTGGATGTATGGCAGGAGGCTCCATCTTGTTGAAAAGTAAAGTTTCCATCAGGTGATAAAATTGGAATTGACACTAACAAATTGGTTTCAAGAATGTTCTGATATTTTTCTGCGTTTACAATTCCGTCTATAAAGTGCAGTTTTCCAACACTGAAACCAGACATGTTTTCCCATACCATAACACCTGATGGAAATTTTATTTTTCTCTTTAGGCAGTCTTTGTGAAAGGCTTCATTTTTGTTTCTTATAACACGTGATCGATGGTCACTCACGCAAACATCAAATTTTGATTCATCGCTAAAAATGATTCTTTTCCAGTCTTCAAAAGTCCACATTGCCCGTTCCTTTGCCCACGCTAATCGTCTTTTCTTTTGTTTTACCGTCAGCAACGGCTTTTCTTTTGCCTAAACCAATGATTTCACTGCATAAATATGAGATTTTCCTTAAACGTAAACCAGACTTATGGATCCAGCGACGACACGTTTTTCGTGAAACATTTCCAATTATTTCTTCATTCCATTTTGCTGTTATTTCCCTTACAGTACTTCGGCGATCAGTTTTACAAATCCGAACAAGAGATCTTTGCATTCGGGAAGTGACTTTGCGTGGCCGACCAGCACCATGTCTTGAAATTTGAGTTGAACCCGTTTCTCCATATTTTTTCATAATATCTGACACCATGGACTTTGCGACATTTATTTGTTTAGCAATATCCCGAAAGGTTTTTCCTTGATTAAACAGTTTTTCTATTAATTCTCTAATTGCACCATTTGTTGCTTTACCACGCGACATTTTGGAGCCAATTGATAATCGAATTAATTCCCAAGTTAAAATGTCAAAATGAAACACTTTTTTTTTGTTTCCATGGCTTGCTATTATTTGTTTTACTAACGTGTCCGAACATTTAGGTGTCAGCAAATATTGCATTTTTATCAACATTAGTTTAGTTTTATTAATCAATATTAGTTTATTTGAAAACAATTTCATAAATATGATAAACAATACATATTATTTTTCACAAAATCAGTTGATGTCCGAAAATTTTTGTGTTAGGGCTCGTATTCAAACAATAACAAGTTTGCTTTGATAAAATTAAGAAAAAACCAAAAATTATTATATTCTCTTCAGTCTTTTGAGTTTTGACGATCTTCCAAAAAATTATATTTCACACCATATTTATAACTTTACTAAATGCATACAAAAACAAAACTTTTATTGTCATTGCAGACAATTAAAAACTTCAAAAATATATTAATATTTAAAAGTCATAATTTTACATGGAAAATTGCATAGGATTTTAGGATTACATTTTTTCCTAACAAATGCTACTATACAGTTGTTTCAACTCATGAATAGTCATTATGGTTATCGTTTGACTTGTATTACTATTAAAAATAATGTTCTTAGTTTATTTTCAATAAAATTGGCACATTTTGATTTATGTCACTTTAGTTGAAAATTCTTGTCTCATTGATTGTCTGAACACAAGTAGATTTATGTCACACTTTATCATCATAAATAAGCGACTTTATAGTACGGGAATAACGACATAAACCCCTACAGCGATCATTTTTAGAAGTTCACATAAAAATATGCGGAGCATTTTCACAATAAGCTCGAAAATGGAAATGCTTTTAAAAGAAAGTATATCAAAGTAAAATTGGATATATAAAAATAGATTTTATTGGTGAACTTTCAATTAGTACTATTTCTGTCTCGGCCCCTATTTTCCATCCTAAATCTACACAAAATAACCAAAACAGTATTTCAGTCAATACAAAATAACCCACTTTCTTCAAAATTTGCTTTAACAGGCAAGAAAACCACCCAACAACAAGTAGTTGAAAATAATTATGTGATTTTCTAAATAAATATGCTAATGAGAATGAAAGTTATGTAACTAACAATGCAACAAAAGTAATATCGGTTGCACAGATAGACAATTTTATTCTAAATTCTTCAAGCTACCTAAAACATACATAATTTGAAATAACTTCTTGTGTTCATTTAAATATATCAAATTATATAAAATGCAGCATTTTTTTTCACAACAATTTTTCAAACATTTATTTTCTAAAATCTTTGGAAGTACAAAAAATGTATTTTATAAATAAATAATTTAGTTAAAATTAATTGACACATTAAGAAATGCCATTCGTTCATTTTGCAGGAACACGCACTGCTCATTCCGAAAATATTCATTCCTTATACAAAATAAGAGACTGCAATTTTTAATCTATTATTGACAGGATGGCAAGTTTTTTTGAGTAACAAAAGTACGGTTTACTCATTTTTAATAATTCTCAGTTTACATTTACTTTGCAGTTTTAATGTGAAAAGTGCAAATTTATTTTGACAACTGTTGTCAAATTATTATGAAATCGAAACCTTGATTTGCAAACTTGTACTTTGCTCTTTTCACTTTTCAAATTTTACCTTTCAACTTGTCACATTTCTATTGTATGAAATAGAAATTAACTAAAATTTGCAATGTACAAAGTTAAAAATTGTAAAGTAGTTTTATTAAATAGGCCCTTAGAATCTACTTTAACCAAAACTCTATAATATTTAGGCTTTTTATGCATTTTGTATTGAAAAATATGCACGTTTATTAACTGTTACTGCGTACTAAATATCTTTATTTAATTTCATAATACTTTCTTCAATTTAAACATAACTTCTATCCCTTGGTTACGTAGACAACATTCCGACACATATTCTGTCTTTTTATTCGCAGTGTCTTGTCACACTCAATAAAATTAAAAATAATTTCTGACGAATCTTTGCTCGATGTTGTCATGCGCTCGTCATTTGGACGACGAGTCCGTTCTACAATAATGAGGGGACAATGCGTTCAGCGTCCCTTCACACACACATAAGAACCAACTAGCTACGTTTTTCAACACTGTTCATATTGTTTTCGTCACGCTCACTATTCTTTGTCGAACCACTGGCATGTCCCTCATAGGCAAATATCGTTTTCATTAATCATTCCTCTGGCCTAGCCAGATTTACAAACTGAAACTGCTAGCATGTTGTATTTAATTTCTATAAGCAATTATATCGTTTCTCTAAATTATTGTATATGTACATAAATGTGTAATTGTTCTTAACAAGTGAATTACATCAATGTACTGTTCATCAGTGTTTAATTTTCCTGGACAAGAAATTTATCTCCAGGTGCATAACTCCAGTCCACACCCGTACAAGCCTAAGTCGATGAATAAACAGGGTGTCAAATCCCCAAAAGTTTACCCTCATCAAGCGGTTTCAAAAATATACATTTTTATTTCCTAAAATTTTAGGACCGTATTTTCATAACGGAAAATTTTTTGACCATAGTTTATGAAATCAAATATTAATTTTTCATGTAGATTCACACCCTTAAATATTTTCATAATATTACAAGGACACATTATTATATTTTTTCTCTTATTTTTATATTTGTTCTCAAAATAAATTCCTTATTGGCATTGGTACTTATTAAAGCATAAATATTTATTTCAGGGTTCGAAAATATCATGATATTTATATAAATATCATATCACATGATATATATATCAGTTTTAAAATGTACTTATTTAATTAAAAACAGTATTGTTTCTTGCACAAACTATATTTTAAATTTTAACACAAACATATTAACAAAAACTTACATTCTAATCAACAAAACCGTTTATTCTAACTCAAATTAAAAAGAATAAACAAAAATAATTTATAAAATTAACAGATTTTAACATTATTTTGTTAACATTAATATTTAACAAAAAAACACATATTAATCGCTAGTTATTATACTTTTATACAGGGGCGTATTGAGACATTTTCGGATGTTTAGAATGGTGTAAAACATTTTTAATTTAATAAATAAAATTATCGAATATATCGGATATATATCAAGATATAAATATCATGATATATAACACTTGATATATATCCTCCGAACCCTGATTTATTTATTTGCAATTATTATTTGTATTTGTAATTTGTAATATTTTTTAAAATAAATTTTATTATTTTTATAGGTGATGTGGAGGGTTACGATGAGAACTGTGATTTGTGGAGCTTGGGCGTGATTTTGTATACCATGCTGTGCGGTAAAGCTCCATTCCACGCCAGATCCAGGGATGAAACCGTCTCGTCCATCATGACCAGGATCAAAGATGGCGATTTCAACTTTGACTCACCAAATTGGCAGGGCGTCAGCACCGAAGCCAAGTTCGTGGTCGAGGGTTTACTGACTGTTGACCCATCTCAAAGGCTGAGGATGACAGATCTCCAAAACGACGCTTGGATCCAAGGCAGCCAACATTTCTCTCAAACCCCCCTCATGACGCCTGACGTACTCGGCATTACCGCCGAAAAAACTCTGCAAACAACGTTCAACGCGTTCCACCAAGCACAGCGCGAGGGCTTCCGGTTACAGGATGTGCTCAACGCGAAATTAGCGCAACGCAGGCGTATGAAAAAGAGCTCCTCAGACAACAACAGCTCGTCTTCGTCGTCGTTTACCAGCGAGAGTTCCTTAAAAAGTGGATTCGCGACACCGGGTCGCTCGAAACTTTCGCTTGAACTAAAAAAGCCGGACGAGAGCGGCGCTAAGACTCCCGCGCAGACCAAAGTGTTCGATTTGGCAGCCGAGAACAGAGTTACCGAGTTTCTGGACACGATGCACCCTCATCAAGATTCCGTGAGTTCGGGCTCGAGAACGTCAGACGCGATTCGCGAATCGACCAGTTCTAGCGGAATCGTAGTGTCCGACAAGAACTCGGTGGACAGTAAAACCGAACGGAAGAAGAGACAGAAGAAGACCTACATACAATCGAGGCAGAGCGAAAGGATAAGAAGAATTAGGTTAGAAATTGACGGGGAAGGACCGATGGAATTCATATGTTTACCCAACAGGACCAGAAAACGGAAGCTGGACGATTGCGACGAGCATCCGGACACGCCACAATCGAAAATTAGGAAGAAAGTAACCGTAACGAATAGAAAACGTAAGAAGATGGTCGTCCAACGGTAGACGTCGTCGTCTTAAATAGTTATTATTAGTTGCAAGTCATGTAGGTGTTAATTTGAGGTGCAGACAATTTTTTTAGCCTCCAGGTTGTTATACTCTACGTTAGGTATTTGTCGGTATTTTAAACATTTTCAAAAAAAAAAACTTTGAATCGTTTAAACTATTTGGCGATATCAAATGTTCGAGAGCATATTATATAGTTTATACAGGATTATTAGGGAATTGGGGAAGTAGAGGTTTGTTACCAGAAAAAATCTAAATAATGTGATAAAAATGGTAATTTTGAAGGTAAAATTCCTGTACTATACGATTTTTTCGGTTTAGCTAAGAGTGACCGTCAGTGTTGTTTCTAAGGCATTGCGTAACGATTTGGTTCTATTGATAATTCCGACAGGCTGTGATGATGGAATTCTTCCGCAAGGACGACAGCAGCTCTATACATCCAAAATGTGTGCATTATTTTTTGATAAATGAACAACTCAAACTTGCCAAAAAGAATTTATAAAACAGTGCCAACGACTTAACCAAACTTTGACATTTAAAGGGTTACGAGGATGGAATTATAAGTGTTTTATCTTTGTCATCACTACAGCTCATATGTTAATAGGTTATTCCAAATATTCACTTCATATCATTTGTCAATTTAATGTTACAAAATGTCTGTCTATATTTATAAACATAACTCTGAATTATATAATTAATAATGTCAATAAGGTGAAGACATAGAATATTGTAGCAGATAAAACAATAAAGCCCAGTACTTTGTCAGCATGTTAATTTTTTGAAAAGTGATTTAGGTAATCATAATGTTAAACTAATAATAGTGGCTTTTTAATCTTCATTTTTTGAATTGGGTAAAGTTTAACATGCCATAATGAGAATCAAAATTTTAAAATCATGCATAGTTTTTGCAGTACATATTTTTATATTTTTACCACTAACATTTTTATGGTACGCCTTTGTACCATCAACTGTTTTTTGGTACGCATATGTACCACTTAGGAAAAATCCAAAATATTCACAAATTTTTATAATTATTTAATAAGGAAACATTCGTTTTGATCTTGCTAGCATATCATCAGAAATAACTAAAAATCGTCCAAAATACCATTTTGTCTATGCGCTAGTTCGGTGTGATGTCATTTTGGTTCCACTGACATTTAATTCTAATAAAACTTTTAACAAAAACGTCAATAAATTTGACATATTCGTTTTTACTGTTTTTAGTTTATTTCTAAATATTTTTTACAGGTCATAAAAAATAGTTTAAAGGTATGTAATTGGTAACTAAACGATTGTATATTTGATGCATGTTATCTACTTCAGGAATATATTTATAAAATTGAAGAGATATAATTTAGGTAAACAAAACAAACAAAACGCACTCAAAAAATCTACTGTTAATTGTCAGTGGAACCATAATTACATCATCACTGAACTAGCGTATTTCTATTCACTTTATTAAAACTTCACTCTGTGGAGACATCCTTGATAGTCGAAAATCAAAGGCTTTATTCACTTTTTGGTACAAATGTGTATCACATTTTAACAATTGTTATAGTAAATATTTGAACCTCAGAACGAAATCTTGTTCAAAATGGATGTTAGTGTTGATATTTCAGTCAAATACAGCAGGCAGTGGATCCATAATAACACATAGTACATATATGTACCAGAAATCGTTAAAGGGTTGAATAGGAATGATAGATTATCCGTTATCCAAAATGTGGTTGGTTGTGAAGTAAATAAACACTTTCAAAATCAACATAAATTTTATTAAATCAGATTGTTGCGGCTAGTTTCGGCCTAACATGGCCTTCATCAGGCCTACCATACAAAATATGTAATGATTAAAAAATAATAAAGCAACAATAAAAGGTTTTATTTGTCTCAACAATCTGATTTAATAAAATGTATGCTGTGTTATTTTGAAAGTTTTCCTTATTTTAGATAAAACATTTAAACGAAAAAAACGTTTTTTTAGTCCAACACATATACCACGTGACGTTGCTTTCAACCTATCATGTCTCTGTTGTACAAACAAACTTCTTTCTATATAAACCATTATTTTTTGTCAGTTATAATCATTGTCATATGGTTGTCATCAAACTCAAAATATCGTCAATTTGGAACAAGAAAGTCATATCTCAAAAAAATAGAATTTTCATTAGTTTCATTAAATAATTTTTGAATTTTAGGGGAAAAAATAACTATAAATATAAAATTATAAAGTTACTAGTATTTATCGTTAATATACCTTTTTGAATTTTTGCTATTATTATTTTTTATAAATAATTACGAGTTGTGTCACTCTTTTCTATATTTTTTTCATGTTTTTTTTTATAAATAAAGACGTGTAACAGTTTATTTTATGAAAAATATACCTTTAAAAAAACCGTTCTAATTAGAGTTACGACAGTGTTGCAATAAATACACATAAACTCTTATTATATAAATACTTGACTTATGACGCTCTTTTGAAAAATGTTCTGATCAGGATCAATAAAAACAATAAATTAGGGATGAGGTAGCCATATGTAAGTGGTTGGGATTGAGTACGAAGGAGTAAAGAAAAATCTTTTGTTTCTCACAAAGTCAATTTAACATTCAATCACAATAAATAACTGACTTGTGACCATTTGGTTTATAGGGAAAACTAAACAAATTTGACTTTTAACGATTTTACACATTCAAATTATAATGTTTTGAGTTGATACAGCAATAAATAAATAAAAAATTGTTCGACGATTTTATCTTTGGAAAAAACAACTCGTGCTTCACAACTTATTATACCCTTTAATAATATTGGTAAAATCATTGATTGTATTGGTAATCAAAGATCATAATATTTACAAGAATGGTGACATAACTCAAAATTTTTTATTTTCGAGTTTATCATGAAAATGTATAACAAAATTTACATATTTTTATGTGGAAGAACGACCCAAAAATGACCGCCGGAAAGCGGGTATGCCAATCGCGAGTTTATGATGATGAAGACTGACAAAATCTAGTTATGCTCCGACAGTCAATAATACAAAATTCTCAATTTTCGCCTATAATGACAAATCAAAATATTCCAGTTTTATTAAAAATAAATTAAGTAAAAACAATATTTTCAACAGTAACACAAGTCAAATTAGTACGTTATTGTCGAAAAGATCATCAGTGTGGTGAAATACTTTTCTGGAAGATCGTCATAACTCAAAAGTGAGATAAAAAGATAATTTTCGGTTTTCTTTTAATATTATCAAAGCAAACTTTATTGTTTGAATACAAGAAAAAAGATTGAAATATTTTTAAAATTGAAGATCACTAAACAAATTTGACTTGTATCGATTTTACACATACAAATTATATTTTCAGTTGATACAACAATCAATCTCAAAAAATAAAAATTTTGAGATGTGACTCTCTTGTTCCAAACTGACGATATCATCTTTGGAAAATACAACTCATACTTCGCAATCATTGTGTTTACATTATATAGACTGACATTCGGTACATTTCAAGGAATTGTCGCTTATAAACGTACCAGTTATTATATTGCTTTTGATAATAATGGTATAATCATTGATTGTATTCAAAATCAAAGATCATAATATCGTTGGGGCACCAGAATAGTGACATAACTCGAAAATTTACATTTTCAAGTTTACTATAAAAATGTATAGGAAAATCAGCATATTTTTATGTGGAAGAATGACATATTGATACTTACAAAAATGACCGCTGTAAAGCGGATGTGTCGTTTATCCAGTACTCATGATAATGAAGAGTGCTAAAATGTAGTTGTGCTCTGACAATCAATGTAACAAGAATATCCATTGTCAGCTATAGTGAATTAAATTAAAATATGCCAGTTAAGAACATTATTTTCAATAGTGACACAATTCAATTTAGGACATTATTCTTAAAAATTCTTTGTCAAATTAACTTTGAAAGGTGCCAAGTTCTAAAGCATTTAATTAAAAGGGTCGAACCAATAATTCTGCATTTAATCAATGAGAAAGATGCTCTTAAATATAGAGAGACTACAATAAATTATTTAGCTTATAATGTAGTGGGCCTAAATCGCCTATATTTTTTAATTATTATTTATCATTTTAGCACAAATGTTTGCTGAATCCCCACCTGTTATTTATGTCATGACCTATTAACATATTCTTAAAAAACTCATCTATCTAAATTGGATATTGTTTTTTTGTTCCTCTAAACCCTACATTTATAAAATAGTTGTAAAGTATAATGTAAATTAAAGAGTCACGTCTGGTTCTAGTGTCAAATATAGTACCTAATCGACCGCAGTCAATTTGTGACAATTGACAGCTGTCAAATTACAATAACTGGCAAGGGACAGATTAATAAAATAATGTTACGAATAGGTACTTTGTAATATTTAGAAATGCTGTCCGATTTGGTGTGATGAATTCTTGGAATCTTTTTGATTGCCTTGTATGCAACAATGAATCACGAATATTTACAATTCCATTTTTATTTCACTAGACAAACTGTTAAGTGCACTTCTTTATTAGGGTGAATGTTAATTAAATTGTTGTATGGGGCGTCCGATATTCCTGTGGTCGGATAATAAAGATTGATTTGAATTAATGTTTTGTATTGAATAAGTTGAAATAACTAAAAAAATGTCTGTTTATATTTTTGAAGTTTGAAAAAAAACATGCAGAACACTTAAATTATGGGACGCTCCATATTGAGTAAAAATACCAAAAAACTGTAAATATTATTATATATTGAATATAAAAATAATAGAAAATTTTTGTAAATTCATTATTCTCGTTTATTATTATTATTCTGTATGAAGTTGTTTTTATACAGGTTTTTGAGAAAAAAGGGTAGTGACACCGTTATACCGTTATAAATAACTTGTTACTTTTTTTTCTATTGCCTGGGACGGTTGCAATAAATTGGTCAAAATAGAATCAAATTTTAGTATTCTTTAATTAGCATACAGTAAAACTACAACTCATAGTAAGGTCCAACATTTTCTAATGGATTTTTAAAGCAGTTAATCAATTAATTCAGAGTTCTTATTTTTATTCCCTTCTACTTCTCGTTCTGTTTCTCAGTCTTTATCTTATTTATATTTAGAAATATGTCTAATTAAATCTGATTGCCTTGTAAAATGCTTTGAAACAGCCTGCTTCAGATCTTCTGTGTTAATTCTTACTTTTTTTCATCTATGTATAATATATTTCAAGTAAACTATTTTTATTTCTCAATATCAGCCTTTTTTTCAATGGATTCTTAAAACAGTCTAATTCAGTGAGTCTTTAAAACGATTCTTTTCCTTTCTTACCGTTCTTATTTTAATTCGCTTTTCCTTGTGTTTCTCATTCTTTATCTTATTTATATTTAGAAATATGTCTAATTATATCTGATTGCCTTGCAAACATTTTTTAAATAGCCTGCCATTATAAAGGTAATATTTCTTCAGATCTTGCCTGTTAATTCTTACTTTTTTCGTCTATGTGTCTGTGTTCAAAACGATTAGCAAAATATCCATGATCTAGCACGTGTTTACACTGGAAAAAGTTAGACCTTACTGTGGGTGCTTCAAAAGTGTGTCTTAATTCAAAATCAAAATATATACCTCATAAAACAATTAATTATATTTTTATAAACTCAGGAACTAAATGAGACATTGAAATAGTTTTACTCGTTAATCTAAAGTATACCGATAGATACTCTTCATAAGATTGTTTAATATAAGAAATAATCGTCAATGTTATTGTATTAAGACACTTCTGGTTTTGTTAGTAAAATTAGGTAAAATGCAACCGACTCTGATTGTTAAACCGATTATTAACTTTTTTATTTATTATTTAAAATATTTATTCTTCGCTATTACCTGAAAATAGATGAAAATAATTGAGCTATTTTGCCGCATCCATAATTTTTGTCTTATAAATTCATCATTGTAAAAAAGTATTTATACAATTACTGTTATTATAGTCTGGTCTTAAATGGCTGTTTATTAATTATATTATTTTCATAAAATCAAAAGCATTTTATAGATTAACATCAGTGGATGAAGTCTTTATAAAACGATTAGAAAAATTTGCAACATTGTTGGATTTATAAGATGAAACTCATTTTCTTATCTACATATTTTTTTTTTACTTAAAAAGGCTGAACGTGCATTCTACAAATATCAGTTACTTTGATATTTTTACTGACATTTCTCAAAATAGCTCAATGGTTCGATTACCGGGACAATTGCAAAGTCCAAAATGCGATAATCCCGCAAACACATTTTTATCTAAAGCATTTTTATAGTTACTATTATATATGCTATTTAACTATTTTCTGAATTGAATTATGTCTCAAAAATGGACAGAAATTGTGATGGCATTAAGTGAAATTTGAATTGTTTACACACATAAATTTCATATATTTTTTAACAAATTCAATAAAAAATACGTCCAGAGTTTTAAGATAAAATCAAAAATTGCACAAAAAATTAGAAATAGGAAATAATAAACAAAAATGTAGTATCAAAAATTTATAAGAAAAAAAAATTAATTTATAATGCTGGTTGATTGGGAATTTTTAATTATTGCTTATATTTATTTTTTTATACATAAATATATTAGCTGCAATCCTGCATATATTTTAAATAATTAAGTTTTAACAGCTTTTATTTTTTAATTTAAAACGTTTCTAGCTTAATTTTACACTATTTATATTTCTGGATGTTGATTATTGAATTTACTGTTATATTTTTTAAATAAATAAGATTTAATTTTCCGCTAGATCGCGCCACTGAGATGAGACGTTCGTGTTGGCTGATATAGACTGTGCTGAGGTGTGAACCACATTCAATTTAGACCCGTCAAATTATTTAAAAAATGGGCCGTATCAGGATATAATTTCCAATTGACTTTCGATATTCTATAATGAGAAAAGAAGTTTTCTGGACATGTTTCCCAAGTTGTCACATTTTTGTACCCAATAAGACTGGCCTCGGTTTCATTCAGTGCAGTATAGTCTACCAAAGCCTTTATAACCTATTTATTTTTGATATATTCACAAACTTGTTTTCTTCTATTTTTCCATTTATCTAAGTAAATATAGGCAAAATAATAAATGTAATAATTATAGATGGTCAAATCTCAGTGTCACCAGCTCTAGAACGTTTCAAGTGTAATGATTTTTATGTGTGTGATATGTGGGAACTTACTTTAGTCATTTTATTGAAGAAAAAAAAAATTGTTTATTTTGGCACACCCAACAAGTCAATATGATGGGTCCGTAGGTACAAATCAAAAATTGAAAAAATTATTTAAGGTTAAATCATAATGCCTTTTTAACCTCAAAAAAAAATGTGTATCTTATTTTAGGTGTGCCTATTTATTAGATCAATTCTCATCTTCTA